CACTGCAGTCACTAATAATTATCAGCACGTCTTTAGTGAGTGTTTGATCAAGTTGAGACTTGATCAAGTTGAGACTAAAGAGTTTGGTAGAATTTCAACACTAGGTTTGGCGCTTTGTTTGTCATTTTGAATAATAGTTGTACTAATCTGACTCCCTTTTATGTGTGTAGATATTATCTATGAGATATCTATATTTTTGTGTTTCATTAAATTTTTGACAACTTCCAATTTTCTTAGATTCATACTCTATACCTTTCAAGTGCCTATTATGAAATAACTGTTTCCAGCTGTTTCTTCTCATTTTGAGTCAATTCAACAGCAAAAAAAAAAAATGTTCCCCAAAGCTTTATTCCCTCCACATCATTATAATTGATTCTGCTTTGAGAAGGCAGCTCTTCTTCATTCATATTTTGAGTGTCTTCTGACCTGAAGGGTTCGATTTCTGGGACTATATGAGACAATATTTATCTGCTACTCATAAGGTTTTCAGTATCTAACAATGTTTTGCCACTATTCATAGGATTTTCTGTGGCTAATTCTTCTGAAGTGGACAGTTTATTCCCTCTGTGTTGTCTTTTATTAGCCTGGAAGTTCTGCTGAAACCTGTTCACCTTGGATAATCTTGCTGGTAATTTAATATAGTGTTGGAAATAGAGCAAAACCACCTTCCATCCCCACAGCAACACTCAACCCATCAGAGTGTGACAAAATGACAGACAAGTGGTGCCGATAATGCTTAGGGTGAGAAGAAACCGCCTTTAAAATTGGGGGATTTGGGAAAAACTTTTTTTTTTTAAAAAGGAAAATCCCAAGATATTCTATACTGGAGTACAGTACTAGAGTGAGAGAAACACCCACCTAGACCGAACTTTGAAATTCACTCTGGCTGAATGTTGGCTGCCATTGGGAGGAGCGGTGGGAGCAAAGTTTCCACGGCTTTCCTAGATACTGTTCCATATTTTTGTACAGTGACACACACAAGGACCCTTTCCCACACACACTAACACTCCCAGGAATAGCAGAGCCTGCCACCTGTGAACAAGGAAGATCAATGCCCCTGGGGGAGACACCCAAAGAGCCTTTCTCCATTAGAGGAAGCTTCCTCACCTTGATCCTCCTGAGAAGGGCAGAAAGGCATGACTATGTTGCGTGGAGTCTGGGGCAAACCGGAAAGGATCAAAAACCTACAGAGAGAGCAGCAGAGACAGAACAAATAGGGTCAGGGTCTTCCTTCCAATTCATAAGAGGTACGACTTCCAGAGGTGGGAGGTTGAAGAGGTGTTGTTATTAAAAAACCATCCCCTTGCTGTTTCCCAGGGCCTCATACCTCTGGATTGGACCACACCTTTGGATTGTGATGAAGGCCATGAATGTTCAGTGAGACTATGATTCCTGTGGGGAAATTTAGAAACAGACAAAGTACTGAAATACGTAAGAGAGGGTGCCCTCATATTTCAGCCATTCCAATGGGTGTGGACACACAGAAGGACAGGGTGTCACAAACCAGGAGAAGCAAGAAAGCATTGGAGGCTGATTGTTTGTAGTAACTCAAGTGTCAGAAGGGAATGTACATTAACCAATTGTACCTGCAAAGCCACCATTCATGGAAAACTTGCTCATTTCCCAGTTTTCATTAAAAAAAATCATTTTATTTGGGGCCCTTACAGGTCTTATAGCAAACTATACATCCATTATGTCAAGCACATTTGTATATATGTTGCCACTATCCTTTTCAAAACCTTTTCTTTCTACTTGAGCGCTTGGTATCAGTTCCTCATTTTTCTCCCATCTTCCCCCTCTCCCCCACCCTTGTGAGTCCTTGAAATATTATAAATTATTATTATTATTTTCATATCTTAAGCCATCTGCTGTCTTCCTTCACCCATGTTTTTGTTGTCCATCCCTTGGGGGGAGGAAGTTGGGAGTTATAAGTTGATCATTGCAATTGGTTCCCCTTATCTCCCCGCACCTTCCCCCTACCCTCATTGTATCACTACTCCATTACTGTTCCGAAGGGCTTTATCTGTCCTGGATTCCATGTGAATGTTTTAGGAGCTCTTATCTGTACCAGTGTACATGCTCTGTTCTAGATATGGAAGGTAGAACTTCGGACATGGTAGTGGTGGGTGGGGGTGGGGGAGTGGAAAGAAGCATTAAAGAACTAGAGGAATGTTGTATTTCATTGGTACTATACTGCACCCTGACTGACTCATCCTTTACTTGTGACTCTTCGTGATGTGATGTCCAATTATCTACAGTTGGGCTTTGGGTCTCCACTCCACGCACCCCACCCACTACTGTGTCACATCAATATGATTATTTAGCATGGGTCTTCGGATGCCTGATACCTGTTTCATTTTTCAGTTTTAAAATGAGACACTTGAGGTTCAGAGGGGTTGTCTGACTTGTCTAGAAGCACCCTAAGATCCTAGACACCACTGAACCATAACCCTGGATCTCCCCTATTTGTCATGAAGCCTCAGAAAGAAAAGATCACATCGACCTCTGTCCTGCACTGGTTCTCTCTAGGGCCCTCCACTTCTCAGGAACTTAGGATTGTAGAGCTAAAGAGGCCATATTCTCAAGCTAAAATCTCCCTGTGGATATGCCTCAGTGTTTTGAATAACCACCATATTAACCCACATAGGTATATTAATACTTTTCATAGTATTTGGATGATGAAAATTAAACTAGTTCAGTTAACCTAAGGTTACAGGATTTGTCCCACCCAAAAGAAATGTTTGGTGATTTAATTCTGAAAATCTAACTGTCTATCCCTTTGGAGTTCAGTTCTATTCTGACACACAACTGACCACAACGAATTAGAATAAATTGGTGGCAATGGGTGGTTTTCATTCATATAGTTATTGAGTGTTAGTGTGGTGAAGTTCATACCTTTGGGTAAGGAGCGTCCATCAGGAAAGGTGATAGGTTTGCTGAGAACTCGGCTAATACTTGGCACTGGAGGGTAGAGTCGCAGACCCTCCTTGATGCACATGGTGGTGTAGGGCATCTGGCTTAAATGGCTCCTAAGGAGGAGAGTTCCAGTCTAAGGAGTATTCAGGTTCTGGGTAGGCCAGTGGCTTCTCCTCTAATAGGGAGGATGACCTCTCTGATCTCTTCAGCACTCACCATGTGATGGAAGAGCCATCCCCCAGGAGGCTCTGAATCTCCTCCCGGCAAGTCTGCTGGTGTTTGGGGTGCATGGCCAGGGCATAGAGGATCCAGGAGATGCCACTGGCTGTGGTGTCATGGCCTTCAAACATGAATGTGTCCACTTCGGCACGAAGGTCCTGGTCGGACAGGCTGCTCCCGTCCTCCATCTGGGGAAGCCCGAGCCATGTGCAGGTTTATCCCCAGACCCTGATATATTGGGGGAAAGCCTCGGGCCTCTCCCACACTCACTTTTGCACAGAGGAGGATGTCGAGAAAATCCAAGTTCTTCTTCCTTTTAATCTTTTCCAGTTCTCTCTCTTCCTGCAGATAAGCCTTCCTCTGATTGATCACTTGGTCTGTTTCATAAAAATGGTAATCAGTGTAAGGTAAGAACTTGGACACAGCAGCCAGACACCCAGAGCGGTCCATCAGTCATAATTGACACTGAACTGGGTGCTGGTCTCACTGAGGTGAGCTCAGGCTTAGTGTGGGGTTGGCTGTGGGTCAAAGGTGAAGCTCTAACAGAAGTGGATTGTATATCTGGACCTATCAAACATATCAAACATTCTGTTTGAATGTTTCCTGGGAAGCTGTTTCATTAACCATTACCAAAGGTGATAGCATATGCAAATCTCTGGCATGGAATCTGTTATATAATATATTGCTGCGCATCCCTAACCACAGAGATGTACCTCCCTAGGGATGCATCAGTTCCTGAAGGCATGATGAGGGGTCTATGTCATAGGTGTCAGGCTAAGTTCTTTTTGGTGGGCTTTTGTGAATAAGGAGACCACCTGGGAGAAGCACCTGTGTGTTTGTGGGCAAGTTCGCAGGCTTGGTGGTTTAAGCGGCCCTCAGGTGTGAATCTGTAGATCATGTCAGTCTGATAGAGGGCATTCCTCACACGTGAAAAAAATAGGTTGGACAGGTCTCCAACGGCTTGGATGTAGGGGTGGGTGCTCCTAAAAGAAGAAGATGCAGATGAGATTATAGGGACAAGAAATCTCTGACCCTGGGTCTGAGTGAAAACCTAGGTAAAGACAGCTTCAAGCAGCATGCATAACACCGCAGAGCAATCTATGTTTTCTAATCTTATAAGCCTTGTGGTCCACAGTCCTTGTAAACTGGCACGAGCATTTAGGCTTTTGATTACGTAGCTGGTTTTTAGGATAGAATATTGCTCTGTTTTGAGGTGACCATCTCATGTGCCCCACCTGTCCATCAGGTAAGTTCCCAATCAGTTGGTAAGAACAAGGACGCTGAGCTGAAGGTTTTGCTGACCTGTTCGACTGGGCGTTGCCATGGTAGCTGAAGGCACATTTCATGATGGTGTCCAGGGTCATCAAGGAGACATGTTCAAAGAGTTCCACATGTGAGTCCTGTGTGACAAGCTCCTCCCATTTTTCCTGTGCAGAAGGGGACATTGGCTTTACTCAGAGTGCCCCAGAGGTCTTCCTAATCAGGTTGGATTCTACTCTCTGTCTCCCTGGATGTCCTGTTGGGAATTCCTTACCTTATTAAGCAGATGATATTGTGATAAAGTAAGACTACAAGCAAATTTTTGCAAATAATGTCTATTTTTCACTAATTTCTATTTTAAATTTATAATAACACAAATCAAGATTTAAATTATGGAGCAATTTTGATTGCTTATTGCTTACCACCATAAGCCAAAAACTATTCCTTTCTGGGTTTGTGAAGCAGGATAACTCTTTATTGTCCTGAGAGCTGATGTACCAAATTTTCAGGTTTCAAACATGGGGATCCTAGATAAAGTCTAAAGATCAGGCTCAGTTCTAGAAAAGACACCAGGAATTTCATTTGCATTCAATAATTTTATATTTTGTACAGAGTCAAAATTGGGCAGCAAATCAGAGTCCTCATGCTGCAGTGGTGGCATGATAGGGCTGAAGCAGGGTAATATTTATCCAGGGTCCATGTCTCTAAGGAGTGGCTCAAATTCATGCACAAGTAATGCACCCCAGACCAGATGAGTGGCAAGAACACCTGGAAGTGGGTGGTGAGGAGATGGCTATGAAGAAAGCATGGATCCAAGATAGTGGTGGGATCCTCTGTCAAACCACCTACACACCCATGTGGTCAAGACCATGTGGAGTCATAGTGACAA